GTACTGATGGAAACATAGGATGGAAAATGGTCACGGATGGTGAAGCAGAAGAGAGCCAGAAATGCATGGGTAGAGGGGCAGCAGTCACTTAAAACCAGCTCTTGTGTTGGCAGGAACAGAAATAAGTGCCATGGAATAAAACTGATTTTTCTTTACTGCATGCATTTCATACTTATTCACATGCTAGATCTGATCACAGATAAACAAACTAGAAGGATCCATTATTTACGTGCTGTAATAAATATTTATATGAGGGACTGTGAAGGCTCTGGTCAAGTCATATATACATTTGCATTAAAAGGAGGAAATCAAAACAAACTGGGCTGGATCACCTTCTGTCACTGCATTAAAATGAAAAATGCCAGAGAATGAGCACCTAAAGCACAGGCTCCTTTGTTGAACTCATTCCTCTGCTCTTTTGTTATCTGATCCAATGAGTTACAGAGTGCCACTGACCATCTGAGTTTCCTCAGGGCTTTGTAAACACAGCCATTTTCATCTCTACAGAGGCACAGGAGAGAACTTGCATGTTAAGTGACAGGGATGTTTCACTTCTCAGCAGACTGCTCAGCTTAACCCACACACCACAAACCAAAGCTGGGCTTTGAAGCCAGAGTTCCCATAATCTTCTGTCGACTCTGAAACTAAGTCAAGATTCTTTCTACCCAAATAAAGTAGTTAAATTGCTGTGGACTCCTTGTGTATGTGATGGAGAGAGACAGGATACTTGAGAAAGAGACCTGGATGTTAGAGGTCCTGAACCTGTCCATCTTGCTTCCTGTGGTTCAGGAGGTAGCTACCATGAAAATGTAGTTGTGAACATGAAAGGTAAAAAGGGTAGTTGTTTTATATCCAAGTTTTTCCTTCTCAGGCTCCTAATTAGATCATTACCTGGCCCTCAAATACAAGCAGGAAAAGGGCTTCTTTTTTTTTTTTTCTTTTTTTTTTTTTTTAAATTGGCATCTTTTGGTACAAAGAAGTCAGAGATGCAGGCAGAGGCAGCTGTAACCAGCACGATAACGGGGCAAAGGGCTCACTGGGCTGAGGGATATTAATGGTTTGTTGCTTGTGAATAACCCTTTCCCCAGAGACCTCCCTATGCTCTGTGTATTCTCTCTGCACATGCCAGCAGCAAAGTGGAGGCTTTATTAAGAGAGTTACAAATAAGGTCAAATTCCTTTAGGAGCTTTTCAGAGTTCACAAGGCATCCAAGGAGGGGTCCAGCTGTTGGCAGGGGTTTCCCATTACGGTCAGAGACACAAGTTCCAGCACGTCTCCAGTTAAAAGAGGATCCTGGCAGATTTTTCTCTTTAATATGACAGGGATGGGATGGAGTTCTTCACAATAACTTTCCCTTCACAGATGCTAGGCACTTTTGTATAGGCCTCAGTCAGAGAGAAAGCATGTGCCTGGCACAGCATGGCCTGCCTTGGGGATCCTACACTGCTGTGCTGGGTTACGCAGGTTAAAGGGCTGCAAAGTCACAAGAGCTCAGACCCTCCACCTGAGCACCCAATGTGCCTCATGTCTCTGTGGAATCCAAAAAAGCCCACCAGTAGTGGACTATATTCTAAAAACTCCTTCAGGAGTAAAAGGTCTTGTTTTTCAAGGCAGAAACAACAGAAATTAAACCATTTGCTCCATTACCTTAATGGCAGTCAGAAATATATACAATACTCTATTAGACCACTCCTCCTTCCCATCTTAGACCTCAGTTCTTTAAAAGGCTCATCTTCAGAAGCCATAGATCCCTAAATTCAACCCAAATGTGCATTTTGTTCTGAACTGTTTTCCATTAGAGAAGGAAGAAAAGTTACCCTTCTCCACCTTTGGGGCAAGTATAAGCTCTTCACTCGTCAAGTAACTGATGCTGCCTGGATAAAAATAATCACAGCAAACTTGTCCAGGACCCATTTCCTGGGAAAAGGCCACTTGCCAAGGCTCAGTCTTGAAATAAATCATCAGTTCCGTGATATTCAAACAGAATAAATCTTCCATGTGCAGAAAGTAGCTGGGATCTGCCTTATGGGAACTGGATGCTGCCACAAAGTCTGAGTCATACGGTCATGTTTATAAGATCAGCTTGTTGCGAATGTCTGGGATCAAAGGCTGCCATGGAGCAGCCCTCCCTGCATCACAGGGTTGTAGAAACGTGCAGGGAAATGTTCCCTAGCTAGAGAAAGCTTTGATTTATAAGCTGTGATGTTTTCACCTGCTCCTGAAGGAACAGAGTTGCCTGCTGGGCTAGGCAGGCCCATGGCAGGAGTACGTTTTCTGGAACAGGTTTGGGGACTCTGTGCACTGCTCCCACGGTTGCTAATGGCAGCTGGGAGCACAACCCCCTCATTTTGGTGCTGTGAACGTCTGCAGGGCTATCATTTCTTGCAGTGTGCTGTGGGGAAGCACGTGGTGAATATGCTGTTGGCTGATGTGGGTTGCAGATGGATCCTACACTGGTTTCTCCTGTGAAGCCAAGGGACAAGTGATAGTACAGCTCTCCTTCCCTTTCCTGAATCACTAGAGCTCTGTCCCACTGGGTCATAGAATCATAGAATGGTTTGGGTTGGAAGGAACCTTAAAGATCATCCAGTTCCAAGCCCCCTGCATGGGACACCTTCCTCTAGATCAGGTTGCTTCAAGCCCCATCCAACCTGCCCTTGAACACTTCCAGGGAGGGAGCATCTACAGCTGCCCTGGGCAACCTGTGCCACTGGCAGACCTGGACAAACACTCTCCAATGTAGCTGGGATTTGAGTGATGGAGCATGATGAGCTGAAAAACCATCTGCTCACTCACATTTCTTTTAGTTAAGCTCACACACACACCATCTACTCTTGATTTCAGCATGCAGGGGAGCAGCAGGATCAACAGATATACTATCTATCTTTCACTCTACACACAGAGAGCCCAAATCCCTGGGGAAACCTAGAGAAAGCATTGCTCCATGGTGAGTGCCTCACCTCTAATTCCCAACCCTGCAGGACATGCATCCAGCTGTTGTCCCAGAGGCATTTCCCACCTTTCTTTTGCTGCTAAGCAGGCAGGACATACCTAACCCCTCAGAACCCAAGCAGCACCAGGGTGACATAACAGATATTTTTGACCCCAGTAACTCCAAACATGCAGATATTTGCTCCTGTCCAACAACTCAGTCATTTTTAGCATCATTCACAGCTTAAAATCCTGCACCAGAATTCATTGTAAAGCTACCTCAGCATTCCCACCACTAGTTTGGCAATACACTGTCTTGTCCTGAGCCTGGCCCTGTAACCAGTTTCATTTAAGAGCTGACACTGGAGGAAGGCCTTCATCCCAGCAGCAGACTGCACACTACAGTCTAGGATCCAATACCTTATTTCCTTGGGCAAACATCCCAATTTTTAGAGATCAAAAGACCAATTTGAAAGCAACAGGGCATAAAAGCACTATGGATGGCATGGCCCTGCTGTCACATCTCACTGCTCTTTCTCTTAGCTATCACTTTGCTCTCCCAGTTCCACTGTCTCCCACCCCATTTCCTAGTGCCACATGCCCTGCTCTCAGCCAGGATAAGTTTTGGAACTAGGCACTTGGGCAAAGAAGAAGAAAACTTTACCCTTCATGGCTTCGCATTGAGTTTTGCCTCACAGTGACTTTCAAAAGCAGGTTCCAGTGCTAGTACCTTGTCACCAGGACGTGCATGTCTCTGCTTGCTCAGCAGGGGCAAAGGAGCAGAGTGCTCAGGTTTATGTGAGAAACCCACCAGGTTTTGCTGACTCTGCAAGTTCTCACCCAGCAGCTGAACCAGCACAGCCCAAACACCACAGGAAAGAGGTCCAGGCTAACCTATCCAACATATCTGTTGTGGCTTCTGCTCCCCAGCAAGTGAGGGATAAGAGCACATCCAGGGATATAAGTCAACTCAGGAGATGGGAAGCAGCCTGGGAGAGGACTGTGACTCTTCTGCCAAGCCAGGGTACAAGCCCCTGGACTACTCTGCTGCACTGCAAGTGCTCAGATTTTCACACCCACACAACTAAGGCACACTCACTGCACAAATAACCTGACTGACCTGATTTCACCTGTGGTTTCCTATTGACACCCATCATCTGCGTATCATGTTTCCAAGCAGTCACTTCACATGCTTCCATTTGAGTAGCGTTTAACTCCCTAAGGGCACTGGATCAGCAGCTGTGAAGCTGAAGATCTCCAGGTACAGCTGTACAGATACAAGCACAGGCAATAGCAGCAGCTCAAGCTTTCCTGTACAGCCCCCTGTGAAGCCTTTCCCCCTCTAGAGGCAATTCTTTTGGGCGACCAGTTAAAGTCCTCTCACCTCTGCAGAGAAGGATGGTCAGGAATGCTGGTCATAGCATTTTGCACTGTGGACATTTCTTCTCTCTGCCACAGCCTAAAAAACTAACTTCACATTGGCTCAAGAACAGACAGTTCTAGTGAATGCTTTTAAATTTATTGATCTTTAACACATGGTAAGTAAGAGACTATGACAGCCTGAGAGTGAAGAAGCTACGTGAAGGCACCATAAGTCAACTGTAACGTGATGCAATTTAACAACTTGGTTTTGAATTTTTAACCCTTGCTTTAACTTCAGTAAAAGTTTAAATGCAAGATCAAGGCTTGATTTGGCCACACATGGCCCATTACATCTGCAATTAACCTGCTCCTCATTAATATAGGTAGAGATTCAGTTTGTGAACGAGCAGAAGGACAGAAAATTGACCAAGAAATTCAAGGAGTACCCCAAGTATTTAGTTTAATCTGCTAAAAGTCTGCAGCTTGGTAACTTGGCTAAGGCAGGCAGCTGAACATCAGTTTGCTGCTCATGATGAAGCTCATAGGTGATTAACAAGGTACCACACACCAACAGGGCCACCGTGGCAGGTTGCATGGGCGAGTCCTGCTTATCCTTCTCAGGATCTCAGCCAGTTATACCATGAAGACAGTAAATTAAATCACCCTGCCTAGATCAGTGTGCCCTCTCAAGCCATTCCCCTGCTTACCAATCATGGGCATCCCTAGGGTTTGGTATGGGCACTCCAGGCTGCCTCCTTGTGTCCTTCCAAAGACAGCAGAGTAAATGGCAATCACCATGCTCTTCTTACAGCTTAGCCTCAGCTTGTCATCTTCACAGGCTACTTTACTCTTGTACTCATCTGGAAAGAAACAAACACTTAATTACTCTGCTGATCCAGAGGCAGGCACTCAGCATGAAGGGAGCCCTCTCACCTCCCCATGGGGTGAGCTTGCCAGAGGCAGCAGCAATTCTGGGCATTTGCCCAGAGGTGCACATCAGCTGCCAGCACAATCCCAGCCCTACAACTGCTTTTGCTAGAGTAGCAGTGATCATTTGCATTAGGCATTCTCTTTCTGGTACTATCAGCATATTTAATGAACATATTTTAACCTAGCATGTGTCAGTTCTGGTAAATAGCCAATAATTTAATTTTGCAGACAAATAAGTGAGACATGGCAGTTGAGTGATGTCCACAGGGTGATATTAGAGGCCTGTGACAGGGGTAGATAAAAGCCTATCTTTAAGCACCTCTCTCCTTCATAGATGAGCCCTTCACTTGCCAAGCATTTATTCTAAATCACAGCAGCTCAAATGCAAATATAATTATGCTCAATGGGTTTTTTCACAGCAGCTCTCCATGGACAGATTCAATAGGAGCTTTTTGAAATTTGTTAATGACCGAAGTTGCTCTTGCCTGTTTCAAACACAGATATGCAAAGCTGCTCTCCAAGTCCTTGAAATGGTCAGTCCAAGAATGCAAAATACACTGTTGATTTTGTAAGACTGTTGCACGCAGAACAGAACAGTCATTCAGGTCACATCTAGCAAGGAGACAGGACAATTATTTCATAAGAAGTCACAAGTCATTCTGTTCTCTTTACTAGTACTATTTGTATTATGGGAACCCCTAGAGGTCCCAACCTAGAACAGGTCCTCCCCATGTGTGTCTGCCTACATACCACAGAAGACAACTAAATATTTGGAAGAGCTTGAGTCTTTACAGCAGGACATCTACAACTGTGACAGAAAGAGACTGAGAAGAAAGAAGTGGGATGTCTATGGTCACCCTGGCCAACCCAGGGCACAGCCAGGAATAAAACATCAGCCAACCCAGCCTCTGTAGAGTCACTTTCCACTTGATTATGTTATTTGCTGTTAGAAAGGTAGCCACAACAGCATTCAAACTGCTTCATGGGAAGGGTCCCTAACCCATGGGAATCTACCAAGCATGATCAGTCATTTAATCTGAAATGCTCTTAGTGGCACCAGGTCAAAATTGTGTCACAGAGCACACTAGAAACCCAACACTGTGGATTTGCAGCCAGTGCCTGGGGCTGCCCCTGGTTCTCTACCATTTACTAGCACAGACATAACTTCTGTCTCTCCCTGTCACTGGTTCTCCATGTTTAATATCACACACACACACACAAGACCTTCTGCAAAGTCCATATGCATCAAATTACTTCATATTTGAAAACACTAGACAATCATTACTTTACAATTTATTACTTCAGTCTGTACACCAGGGCAGCCAGTGCTTGACATTTTTATTGTATTGTAGCTGTTGGTTCAAGAATAATTTTTCCTGATTGGAGATGGAGACGAAATTTTCCACCAAATTTGAATCACCAAAGAATTTAGATTGGGAGACTCCTCAGGAGGTCATCTGGTTTAACCCCTGATCAAAGCTGGACTGATTTCTACATTAGATTTTATTATTTTTTTTCCTCAAAAGGAATTACACAGAGAAACCATCTACCAGAACAGGCACATGCTAATTTAAAAGAAATGTCTGAAAACAAGCAACTCCTCATGTTAAAGTTGAAAATTCCTAGTAGAAGTCCAAAAATATCCCACTCTATTAGCCTATTATGTGGTCATCAGAGCATCCACCTGGAGTGGGAAAATCCTGGCCCAAACCCTCACAATCTGGCTGAGAATCTTAAGCATTCACAATATTCCAGTAGGTGATCTTCCTTCTCTCTCTGCAGCCTTTTAAAAAAACCTCTGAAAGATCCTAGTTTTTATCCTACTGCAGGGAAAACTTTCAACCCTTCAAAATATTTTGTTGAATGGGAAAAGACTTTTTCATCCATTCCTGTAGATAAACATAGAATTAAAACCTAACTCGTTCATAGAAGAATCTGTTTGAAGAACACACATCCTTCAGCAACACCTACAGGGAGAAACCCTCGACCAGCTGAGTGTGTAGAACAGGGACAGGAAGCAGGAATAGAAGCTCTTTTCAACATCAGAGTATGTAGGAAGAGAGGAACCTTGCACAGCTGTGAAGAACCACTCACCATTTTTATCTCTGGGTATTTTATCCACAATCACCATGTAGGCATCTGAATAACACACTGAACTTCCTAAGGGTTGTTATCTTCACCTATAGTTGTCTCCCATAGGATTTTTTGTTTCTAGTGGGAGGGAAATGGAATCAAAGCTTTAGCCTAACACTGTATATATTCTCTGTTAGTGTATTATGCCTAACAGAGTATAACATAACTGTAAATACTTAATAGATTTATTTTTTCTCCTTACATGGACTCAAGCTAAAAGCACAAAGGCCTTTAGCCCTGCCATAGGCCCAGCTAAGCACAGTTAATAAAACCATATCTGGAAAAGAAGGATACTTGTGACTGGCTGAAGTGACATATGAAATAGTTGATTAACTTTAGAAAAAGATCAATTTTGATGTCTCTAATGAGCGAGTGCCAGGGTCCTCTGTGAAGGTCTTCTTTCTTACAACAGACTAACTCAATTTCCTCTTCTGATGTAGTTATTATTAGCTACATTTCCCAACTAACCAGTATAACTGATCGCTGAACCACATCTCCTACAGACCCATTAAAGGTCCTTAGAATATTTATTAAATTCCATTGATTGCTCATAGTCAAAACTTGTCAGTTGGAAACTGGACTGGGATTTAAGACCAACAAGTATTGCATTTAGCCCAGAAGACACTGGGAGGCAGAGACATTCATATCTCTGCTGAAAGCCAGCCCAGCAGTCACAAGAGGGTCTTTCTGGGAAGTCATGGTCAGGGCTAATGGAGGAAGCTGCCTGATGGATGGTTGGAGAGATGGGACCAGGGAGATGAATCCAAGTGCACGCTCCTTGGAAAGCAGCACAGTTTATGGGTGATGTGCTCCTGGCACACTGTGGGGTGGAGTAAAAGGGCTGTGCCACATGGAACACATGCAACCTCAGGGTCACTAAATTCTGCCCTGGGAAACATCTATTGGAGCTGCAGGTTTCCAAGGCTCCGGCTGAGTCCAAGCTGGCTAGGGCTGCCACAGATAGAAGACACTGCTTTCTAGAAAGACAGAGAGAGAAAGTGAAGGAGGGAAGGAAGGAGGGAGGGAGAAAGGAGGAGAGAAAGGAGGAGAGAAGGAGAGAGAGGAGAGAGAGAAAGGAAGGAAGGAAGGAAGGAAGGAAGGAAGGAAGGAAGGAAGGAAGGAAGGAAGGAAGGAAGGAAGGAAGGAAGGAAGGAAGGGGCGAG